ATGTTCCACATTTTAAAATAGGAAAATAATGTTTATCTATAAGATTATTGTGAGGCTTAAATGAACTAATATGTAAAACGCTTGACACTTGGTAAGCACAAAAATGTTAAAGATTTATCATTAAAGCAAAAGAAAATTGAAATATCAAAAGTCTCTAGCAACAGCATGTGGTTTCTAGAAGCAGTATGTGGCCATACAGAGTGTGGCAGAAACTGCTAATTGACCCTCAGTATCTGTCTTCTCCTTCTAAAGAAGGAGAAATGAAAGAAGTAGAAACACTGGTTTTAGCTGGACAGATAGTCACCTAAAATAAACACATTTCCCACCCTTCCTTGCAGCCAGTTAGAGCCACATGACTGGTCTGGTCAATGGGATGTGAGAGTAGAAGTGATAGGCATACTTTCGGGGTTGCATCCTTAAAGATTAGGGGTATGTCTTGCCTATCTTCTTTCCCTTCTTTCTCATTTTCACATAAATGTGGTGGTGAGACATCTTGGATCTGCAGATGGGGTCCACACCTGGGGGTGGCAAAACACTACAATAAAGGAGCCTGAGCCTCTGAGCTTCTGTGGCTCAGAGGCCACAACAGAGAAACAAATTTCTATCTTGTTTAAACCACTCTATTTTGTATCTCTTTCACAACAGTCAAACCTGTTTCCTATTTGCACAGAAATATTATGCAACTATTTTAAATGATGCTTTAAGAAACAGTTCCAATGTCACAAAAGAATGTTTATGATACAGTAGGTGGAAAAAAAACTGGATACTAAATTGTTAAGAATATGTATATAATATGTATATTATATAAATATGTATATAATTCTATATAATATGATCTCAGCAATTCTTTAAAAAAAATTCATGGTTAAAAACACTGGAAGGAATTATGCCAAAATAGAATTAAGTTTGAATATTTTCCTTCTACTTGTCTATACTTTTTCAAATTTTCTTCAGTATACATCCAAATGTTGATAATCAAGAAAAGAGAAAGATTCTAGCCACCTGTATTTCTGACATAGCTGTCTCAACTACCAGAAATACCCCTTCCTCTTCTGCACTCATGGGCTATTTCATTCCTGCCCCTGTTATATTGTAAGCAAGCACTGTGTCTTATGTAACTTTGTGTTGCACAGTATTTCACCTCCAGCAGACAAGAATTTGATGGATAAATCACAATTAGAAAGGCTGAGATGTTTATAAATACAACTAACTTAAAGCAATAACCTGGCAGGGGCACCTGGATGGCTCAGTCAGTTAAGCATCTGACTCTTGATTTCTGCTCAGGTCATGATCTCAGGGTCATGAGCTGGAGCTGTGTGTGGGGCTTGGCATTGAGCTTAGAGCCCCCTTAAGATTCTCTCTCTCCCTCTGCCCCTCCCCCCTGCTCGTGCACTCTGTCTATTCCTCTCTCTCTCAAAAAAAAAAAGGGCAATAACTTGGCTGCTTTATTTGTACATTACCTATATTACAAGCAAATTAGTCAGAGGTTGCCTGGGGGTGTCTGGGTGGCTCTGTGTCTTAAGCCCCCAACTCTTGATTTCAGCTCAGGTCATAATTTCAAGGTTCTGGGATTGAGCCCCACGTCAGGCTCCGTGCTCATTTGGGAGTCTGCTTGAGGATTCTCTCTCTCCCTCTCCTCTCCCTCTCCTCTCCCTTTCCCTTTGCCCTTCCCCACTCACTCTCTCTCTCTCAAATAAATAAATCTTTTAAAAAAACAAGCAAATTAGTTACAATCCATTGTATTTAGTTTATCTTCCAATATTAAACTTAAGAACAACACAAAATTTATTGTAGCTGCATTTCAAGCTTTACACATTTTTCTTTTGAATATTTACATCCACCCTATTAAGCATGTATTATTATTCCCATTTTACAGATTTCAAAACTGAGGCTCAAAGAGGTTCTTTGCCCCAGATCACAGAACTAGCAAATGATAGGGCTGAGATTGTAACATAGATCTTTCTGATTTTAGCACATTGTCCTATACAACATCTTTTTATCCAAGCATTTATTTTAGTATATGCTTTTAATGTTTTAACCTCATAATTGCAGTACTAGTAATAGATAATACCTATGCAGTGTATAGTAAGTGCTAAATAATGTCCTAAACAATATTTGTATATACACACACACATATATACTCTTTTAATCCTCACAATAATCTATAAAAGTATTTTTATTGTACTAATAATATATTCCCTTTTTTATTAGCTCGTTTGTAACTGCAAAAGGAAAACATGCCCCAGTCTAATCATGAGAAAAACATCAGACAAATCCCAATTAAGAGATATTATACTAACTAGTAGCCGGAACTGACTAGTACTTATTAAAACTGTCAAGGTCTTCAAAAACAAGGAAAGTCTGAGAAACTATCACAGCCAAGAGGAGCTTAAGGGGACAGGACAACTAAATATGAGATATTGGATGGGATCTTGGAACAGAAAAATGACATTAGGTAAAAACTAAGGAAATTCAAATAAAGTATGTAAAGTGTATCAATATTGGTTCATTGTGACAAATTGTGAAAAATGTACTATACTAATAATATAAGATGCTAATAATAGGGGAAACTGGATGTAGGTATATGGAAACTGTCTGTACTATATTTGTAATTTTTCTCTAAGTCTAAAACTCTCCTAAATTTAAGTTTTTATATACTTTATGTATTTATTTATTTATTTATAATTCCAGTATAGTTAACATACAGTGTTATATTAGTTTCAGGTGTACCATATAGTGATTCAACAGTTCTGTACCTTACTCAGTGCTCATCATAAGTGTACTCTTCATTCTCTTCACCTCTTTCACCCATCCCCCCACCCACCTCCCCTCTGATAACCATCTGTTTGTTCTCTATAGTTAAGAGTCTGGTTTTGGTTTGTCTCTTTTTTCCCATTTGGTTGGTTGTCTTGTTTCTTAAATTCCACATATGTGTGAAATCATATGGTATGTGTCTTTCTCGGACTTATTTCACTTGGCATAATACCCTCTAGGTCCATCCATGTTGCTGTAAATGGCAAGATTTCTCATTTTCATGGCTGAGTAACCTTCCATTTTATATACATACCACATCTTTTTTATCCATTCATCTATTGATGGACACTTGGACTGCTTCTGTAATTTAGCTATTGTAAATAATGCTGTAATAAACACAGGGGTGCATGTATCCTTATGAATTAGTGTTTTCATATTCTCTGGGTAAATACCCAGTAGTGCGATTGCTAGATCGTAATGTAATTCTATTTTTAACTTTTTGAGGAACCTACATACTGTTTTCCACAGTGGCTGTACCAGTTTGCATTCCCACCAATAGTGCATGAGGGTTTCCTTTTCTCCACATCCTCCCCAACATTTGTTGTTTCTTGTGTTTTTGATTTTACTCATTCTGACAGGTGATACCTCATCGTAGTTTTGATTTGCATTTCCCTGATGATGAGTGATGTTGAGCATCTCTTCAAGTGTCTATTGACCATCTGGATGTCTTCTTTGGGGAAATTTCTGTTCCTGCCTCTGCCCATTTTTTAGTTGGACTATTTGTTTTTTGGGTGTTGCGTTGTATAAGTTCTTTATCTACTTTGGATACTAACCCTTTATCAGATATGTCATTTGCAAATATTTTCTCCCATTCAGTAGGTTGTCTTTTAGTTTTGTTGATGGTTTCCTTTGCTGTGCAGAAGCTTTTTATTTCAATGTAGTCCCAATAGTTTAGTTTTGCTCGTTTCCCTTGCCTCACCTAGAAAAATGTTGCTATGACCAAAGTCAGAGAAATTACTGCCTGTGCTCTCTTCTAGGATTTTTGTGGTTTCAGGTCTCACTTTTAGGTCCTTAATCCATTTTGAGTTTATTTTTGCATATGGTGTGAGAAAGTGGTCCAGTTTCATTCTTTTGCATGTAGCTATCTAGTTTTCCCAACACCATTGGTTGAAGAGACTGTCTTTTTCCCATTGCATATTCTTGCCTCCTTCGTCAAAGATTAATTGACCATATAATTGTGGGTTTATTTCTGGGCTTTCTATTCTGTTCCATTGATCTATGTGTCTATAAAAAGTTTATTTTTTTAAAAAAAGGAATTTGAAAAAAAATCTCAAACAGAACCAGAATATATAAAATGGAACAGTAAGTCTGCCTCTTATTTTAGACTCTATTCTTTGGGTTCATTCCTCTTCCCAGAAGCAAGCATGGCTGCCAACTTCCTGTGTCTTCTTCTCTACAAGCACATATTGGTTCTGACATATTTTTCAATAGAGAGATCTATATTTATGACTTAAGAATCTAACTCACTAGGTTCAAGTTAGGTAAGTGTATTAGGTTTCTCTGACTGCTCTAACAAATTACCACGTGCTTGGTGGCTTAAAACAACAAAATGTATTCCCTCACGGTTCTGGAGGCAAGAAATCTGAAATCAGTATCACTGGGTCCAAATGAACGTGTCAGCAGGGCCATGCTCCCTCCTTAGGCTCAAAAGCAAATTCTCTTCCTTGCCTCTTCTAACTTCTGGTGGCTGCCAGCATTACTTGGCTTGTGGATACACCCCTCCAATCTCTGTCTTCATAGTTACATTGCTTTCTCTTCTTCCTTTGTGTATGTCAAATCTCCCCCTATTTCCTTCTAAAAAGGAGTGTGCTATGATTATGTAGGGCCCGCTGGATAATCCAGGATTACCTCTCCTCCTCAAGAGCTCTAACTCAATCACACCCGTGAAGACAATCTTTCAAAAATAAAGAAACAATCACAGGTTCCAGGTAATAGCACCAATTATCTCTGGGGGCTTTTATTCAGCCCACAACCATAAGTTATGGATTTTTTAACATTAAAGCTTTCATCCACAAATTAATGACAATAACAAGAATCCCACTGTTGTCCAGATCTTATGCAGGTTGGCAAAACTAAGAAAGGCTTATCTTCTGATGAATCTCTAACATCCCTATCACTTACCCTCTGAGGGACTTAACTATATCTCCTTGAAGCTCGTCTTAAAAGATGTGGGATGGTCTCCGGTAATACACAGCAGGTAATTTAAATTCAGTGCCTCAAGATATTGTTTTCAACTTCCCTTCCCATCTTCCCTTCTGCAAGGGCAACTTAACCCCCAGTGCTACGGGCCCCTTCCATCCTGTTGCATCAGTCTCCAGCTGGGGCTGTTCCAGCCACATTGTTAGAGCAACATGATGAAAGATCTGCAGCGTCTGATGCAAAACTCTGCTCCCTCGGTGTCCTCTCACCCAACTAGCTGGCTTGGTCCCCTGCATGAGAACGCGGCTGCCTGACTGGGGAACACGTGCTGGTCCCCAGAGCTCCAGATCCTGGCTTTGAAAGCAACCGTAGGTCTTTACATGGGAAGCAGAACTCTGGAGAACTCTGCACACAGGTGGGTTCACCAGGGCGGTGAGGAAGGTAGGAAGGTGATGTACACGCCAGGAACTGGGGGGGGAGAACCAGCTTCGGTGGACCTGCCATGCTTTCCTGATTCATTGGCTCCAACCCAAATGGTCAGACGTTCCAGAGACAGCCTGGAACGTCTTGCCTATGAAATACCCAGTAGAGAGACTTGGTACTTTTGTTTTTCTTGTATGGTTAAGTATTATAAATGACGGTTAATAATATATATATAGAGAGAGAGAGAGAGAGAGAGGGAGGGAGCCTACTAGGAAAGTTTAATGCAAAACTTAACACTTTCCTACATTGTAGGCTCTAATGCTTCCCTACCAGTATTAAAACAAGCACGGGCAAGGGAGCAGTTACATTTCAATAGAACAACATCTCCCAGGACTTTCATTTACCACCCAGTGATTACTGCTCAGGGAAAGGATTAAAAATATATGTAAAGCATAACTCCAATTCCTCACAGTCCACCTGCTGGCTCCTTTCTGTAACCAGCATCATATTTACCAATGTAGTTTAAGCCAAGCATGAAAAGGTCAAGAATACCAATAAGTTTGTTACTTGGAGTGCTGACAAAGGACCTAATGGAGGAATTAAGCACCATGTCTGACCAGGCTCATTATACAAATATGCCCACCCTCCTGGAGGGCTGCTAGGAGGAACGACTGAGGTCATGTATCCAAGGGTACTTCGCAACGCGCCTGGCAAGTGGCAAAGGCCTGACAAATAGCAGCTACTGCTATCATTAGCACAACCGTGGGGCCCGCAGGGAAACTCCATCCAGTATTAGGCAAAGGGAGGAGGAAAAATGAGGCGAAAGGCACTGTAAGCGGTGGAGAGGTGGGGAGAACCAGGAGAGAAAAAGAGACACCAAGCATCAGACAAGTTTTACAAGTTTTTACAAGTTTTTTCCTCAGCCTAACTTCTACCCTAGATGCACAATCCAAAATGACTTTTTCTTTCAAATCTGATTGTTAGATGCTGCCAATTGAGCTAAAATGGTATATTTTAAATTTATGCCAGAAAACATTTTTCAAGACTGGAAATTCAGTTAGCTATATTTAGTTCCTTTTTTTCTTTTTTTTCAAAAATGAAAGACTCAGGTGATCATGTTTTCCACCTACTCGGTCCCAAGATTAAATCCTGGTGTGTGGTAGTTTCATGGACCATTTGCCTATCTGGAATACCTGGGAAATTGCCTGGTTGGGTAAAGCTCCCCTCTCCCGACTTAGGCAACCAAGACCTCCCTTGATCAACATAGTGAAACAGGTGATGTTTGCATCATCCCCACCGCTTTCGATGGAGAGGATAAAATACACAGCTGATGTTCATCACCAGTCTCTCCATGGGGAGTAGTGACACATGAGTGTCACTACTCTGTATACTTGTATACTCATTTGTGCCCTGTATTAATGCTTAGAGGTTTTGAAGAGCTTGTCAGCAAGAACCCATACAATAGTATTATGACATAATATAAATTAGAATAAGGAATCAGCAGCAGGGACAAAATAAAAATAGAAAATTGAGACTGAGGAAAGCCCAAGACAGCTTACAGAGAGCCTAGAATTTTGCCTCAATTTTAGCTAGAGAGAGGTTCCCAGGCAGCCAGCGCAGCAACCTAGGAGGCAGGGCCCATGAAGCAAAGCTCAGGCCTGGAAAGAAGAGAAAGGCAGGAGTCCCTGGAATCACAAGGCCGATTATAGGGCAAGAGCATACAGAAGGGTAAGGTCGAAGATCCTGTGAGTCTGGACTGGGGGTAGCCCGTGAGCTGGAAATATCCAACTTGATTTCCATTACTGCAACCTAACTCCACCCCATCCCTTTTAGTATGGCCCCAGGGACACACCGATGACTGGTTTCCAAAGACCCAGGGTGTAGACAGTCCAAGATGCTGGTTAAGGGTGCTTCCCATTTTAAGATGAAATGAAGAAGTGGTAAAAAAAATAAGCATGTGTTGGATACCTGTGGCAAAGCCAGGAATTTCCTCAGGAGACTGGGTCTACTCTAACACGGCAACAAATAAATGTAAGGTTGTGGCATTCTCTGCGGTGGATCACGGCTCTGATGCTCTTGGAACGGATTCTGCCTAAAGCAGGTGTTACCAATCATTCAGCAAGGGCAAAAACGAAAAAAAAATTTGCAGCAATACTCTCATGAGCAAAAGCTTTCCAGTGAACCTGCCTGGATGAATTAGGGGCACAAGGTGCCCCTAGAGAAACTACAGGAATTAGCCTGCAGCAGCAGTTACCAGATACAGAGCAATAAATTTTGAAAGATATCTGCCAAAAGAATAATTTTCATTTTAGAATGGTTAATGTCAAGCGGCTCTTAAAAAGAGAAAAACAATTAGCTCACAGGACCACCTGTGTGTGGCAAGCCCCTCCTGGCTCCTAACAAGAGGCTACAGATCAGGGGTGCCTGGGTGGCTCAGTTGTTAAGCATCTGCCTTCGGTTCAGGTCGTGATCCCGGGGTCCTGGGATTGAGCCCCGCATCAGGCTCCCTGCTCAGCAGGAAGCCTGTCTCTCCCTCTCCCCTTGCTTGTGTTCCCTTTCTCACTGTGTCTCTCTCTGTCAATAAAATATATAAAATCTTAGAAAAAAAAAAGCTACAGATCAGTGAACTAGAAGGTTTGCATATTTGGATTCTGTTATCTATAGCCAGGCATCCAGGTGATTGCACGGAAGTTTCAAATCATTGAAATATAATTTTGCACCTGGGTGAAAAGTAACAAAACCAAACAACCCCAAATTACTAACTAATTTCTTAGCAACCCATCCTGGCTAACCCTGTATGAATATACAGCGTACCAGGCTTCCCATTACATCTGAATTAATAGTATGATAGTTTTTGAGTGACTTGGACCCTCCAAGTGCCTCTTCTGATTCAAAAAGTGTGAGGAAGGAATCCCTAGGCTGTCTCTTCTTCAGTGTCCCTGTCCCTTATTTTCTTATAATAAGCAGAATAATGCTCCCCCAAAGAAATCCACATCCTAACATGAAGAACCTGTGAATTTGTTGGGTTACGTAGCACGTAGGAATTAAGGTTGACGGTGGAATTAAGTGGCTAATCGACCTTCAGCGGGGGAAGACTAACGTGGATTATTTTAGTGGGCCTGATGGAATCACAAGGTCCGTAAAAGTGGAAGAGGAAGACAGTCACAATCAGGGAGAGGGCATCATGAGAAAGTCTCAGCCAGGCTTTGCTGGCTTTGAGGATGGAAGGGGGCCAAGAACCAAGGAATGCAGACATTATCTAGAAGCTGGAAAAGGCAAGAAAACAGATTCTCCCTTGGCGCCTTTGGGAAGGAACCCGACTCTACAGACACCTTGATTTTAGTCCATTGAGACCCATTTTGGATTTCTGACTATGAGATAGTAAATTTGCTACTTTCCTAGTATTTTATTTCTCCCCAATTGCAACTCCTACATAACCTGAAAATTCTCCTCTTTCTTCCCAGACTTAACTGGTTCTTCAACCTTGAAAACACATTAGAATCACCTGCGGAGCTTCCAAAATACTGAATCCTGAGGCTCACACCCAGAAATTCTGATTTCGTGGATCTGGGTACAGCCCAGGAATCAGAAACTTTTAGAGCTCCCCAGATGATTCTTATGGGCAGGTGAGTTTGAGAACCACTGTCATAGAGAGGCTGTGACATGTTTTCATTAACCCCTCTGTATCTCTGCAGTTTTTGGTCTCATACTCTTCAGACCATACTGTTTATTAGAATCAAAAGCAGATGAAAGAGCAATAAAAAACATAAACTGTAATTCTTGACAGATTTCTCTACAGAGTAAATAGGGCGCATAACCAGCAGTAACAAGCCACACCTGAACTTTGCTTGCTCCTCGTGTAAAGCATTGACTGGCCCAGGACAGTGGGCTCCTAAACCCCTATGTATAGAGATCAGGGTTTACTTGCAAGGAACAGAGTCCATTGTAGCTAGTTTAAGCAAGAAAAATACGTATTACAGGCTACTGTAAAGGCCTGTATCATTGGGAAAGCGGAAGAACTAGCCTGCAAGTCAAGCTTTCAGGAACAAAAAAGCCACAATGCAGGAATGAGCCTCCAAAGGAGTTTCTGCCTCTGCCGTGATCAGGAAGCAGCTACAATGAGGAGCCTGCCCTCATGAGAAAGTTGCCGCAGGCTTGCATACAAACCCGCAGAAGGGAGGGCCCAATGTTCTGCCTCTTAGTACTCAAACCAACTGAGTTACTGGACACTGGTACCTATGGGGTAAAGCTGCCACGGGGAAAACAACAACAACAAAAAATTCCCCTGTGACTGTGCTTTTTAGAAAAAACCAAGCACAGCAGAGCATGGCCTCCACTCCTCTTCTGCCTTCCAAATCTTGTGCAAGTGTGTTTGATTGGCCCAGCTTGCATGACCTCCAAAATCTTAGCCGCAAGAGTCTGGGTAAAATGTTCTACTTTCCAACTTCTGCAGATTATGAAGGTTCACGGAAGAAAGCCTAAGTGGATATTGAGCACCAATCCACCATAAATGCCATAGACTGTTCCTCTGGGTCGTCAACATCCATACTGACATTCTCTCCATATTTAAACCTCCAAACGATAATAACTTAACTGTCCCTGTACTAAAAAAAATGTACTCCCCTCCCCTCAAAAGAGGAGACCCAAATTTCCATGAATCTCTGCATCTGTCTTTGGGTGATAGTCATTCCTTCTCCCGTTCAGTTTCAATTCCACCAGGATATTCATTGTACAGAAATTAACTTGTAAAATTAGCCATTGGTAGACCATACACAAAAATGTCAGGGTAAGGGAGGAAGAAATGGCTAATTATATAAAGTTTACATATCAGAGCAAGGAAGAGATCATTGGTGGTTATGACAGTTCCAGTTTCAGGTGCAAGTCTTATAACTCTTGTCCTCCACAGCCCCTTGTAAGTTACTTTTGCCCTCAGTCAGCATCACAGCTGGGCCAAGTTATTTAGCTGGGTGAGTCACCCAGATCTTCATTCCT